CACAATTTTGCTCAGGTTAATATTACAAGTGAATAGACATTTCTCAAATGTCAGTCTCTTGCATAGTATTTTGTATATAGCCAGTCCTCAGGTGAGTATTAAACTGTTCTTGCTTAAAGTGCTCGACTTGAGTAAATGACAATGGTTATTTTAATTACTTTCATTTGTATAATTTTAATGTGCAACATTATTTTTCTAATATCAAAAGTGATTTGACGTAAGTTTTTATTCAAAGCATGTTTCATAACAAATAAGACACTTCTGTCTTTTCTACCACTGTGAAACTCCTTTCCCTCAATATGACCAAAAACTAACAGTGATATAGAAACCAATTCAATTTGGTACATAACATCATTAAAGACACCTCCCAATGGGGAAAGCAAATGGGTTAATTATTTATACACACACATCCGTTACCTAAACTAAACAAAGCCAGAGAATCAAGGGGCTCGAACTTGCTTAACCTGCCTTTCTGGTCAAAAAAAGAAAACAATTTCATTAGTTTTTAAATCATAGATGAAAGCAAGGAACTGCCTGCTTTCTGGAATCAGAAACACTTAATGTTGGGATGCAACCATCACATCTGGCCTCAAGATAGGCAAGCAAAAAGCACCTTCAGTCTTTGGTGTGCTTGGTACAGAAGACAGGCTGAACTCAGGGAAGATAGCATGTCTACCAACTCATCAAAAATATATGAAAGTCTTTAATTTTAAAACAAAATGAAGACTATGGGCTATGGTTAAAGTAAACTCTAAAGCTATGAGCTTTACAGTAAATGTTTCCCACTGCAGTTGAAAGAATAAAACTATTTCTCAGACAGGTAATAAATTGCCTGACCCAGACCCAAAGATGAAATTTAAGTACCAAGTTCTAGAAAGGGGACAGAAATCAGGACTAATATGGCATCACTATATAAACCTTAGGATCACCATACTGTAATTAATAAGAAAAGTTAAACAAAACTATAATTAAGAAATAAGAAAAGTTAAACAAAACTACTCAATTCGACACTAATTAGAATTTTGATAACATTCAAAATGCCCATGTATAGAATTTTACTTTTAAGTCCGAAATGTAAAGAACAGATTCAGAAGTCTGTACATCTTACAAGACTGAATAAAGACAGGGAGCTCTGGCCTCCGCACTGCTTCCAGAGTCTGATAATTAATCAGAGGAATCATACAGCTTCCCTGTCATTCAATTTATCTGTTTCCATAAAATGGGTAGAAAAATGACACATTTTATAGGACCGTTTTAAGAAATGGTTTCCAAGGTCTTACTTGCAAATAAAGATTTACATAAATAAAAACAATTGATAACAACTAATTCTTTTAAGAATCCTGGAATTTATTTGTTGAGTAAATACAGTATTAGAGAATTTTCTACAATAATATATTAGGGTTTCTTTTGAATTTCTAGGTAAAGGTTTATAGTCTATGTTACAGCCTATTTGCAAACTGTTAATCCCTCCCACCCATATAGGTATGATTATTCTTAAACCTAACTAATCATAAGCAAGCAGAAGAGATGCAATGTAATTTTTTCTATGTGATTTTTTTTCCACAGCAATTTTATTCTATCAGGATTTCAAGTAAAACTGCTTCAAAAGGAAAAAGAAAAGCACTTAGTAAATTGTATTTTTGTTTAAACACAATTTTCTTTCTTTTCTTTTTTTTTTAACTACGGAGACACTAGGAGATTAGAAGATAAACTTGCTTTGGTAAACTTGCTTTGGTATTCTTTTTCTGGGTAACCAATTAGGGGAGCAATGAAAGTTAAACAAATTTGCAGTGAGGTTGGGTTGTGGCTTTGTTTTAAGTTGCCAGTATGAGTCTTCATTTACAAAAAAAGAATATGGGTTACTAGTTTTCTTTTTTTTAACAAAAAGTTTATATTATAATTCTATTGTTTAGAGAAAACATACATAACACTTACATCATATCTAATATTAAACACACCTCTGCAAATAAATCTCCTATCAAGTGAGTAGTGTCAAGTGATCTAGGCCTTTGTCTATGGAGTGGGGATGAGGAAGATCAAGAAAGGTGAAAGCTTATTACTTGGACCTCAGTTGAAGATATTCATAAATATACCACACAAATATTACAACACTATCAAGTTAGCATTTTATTTTCTATAACTATCTTAAAAATACATATATCCAATTCTTAAGAAAAATAGTTTCTGATCTCATTAAGTACCATAATTTCGACTTTGAATACTTAACCTTAGTTTCATAGATTCATTTAATGCTTGAAATTACCATGGGCATACTTTTACCAAACAGCATTTTAGTTTAACAAACAAAAATAAATAATTATGAACTGAAATAATAAATAACTCATTGTCCAGTTAAAGGTCTACATCACATACTATATTTATATTTGTAGAATAGGAGGACAAGTACAGACTTGTTTGGATCGGCAAGTCCAATAATTTAGAAACTCTGATCAACCTAAATGCAAAACCCATTTAATAATTTTTAAATGCCACATTTCTGTTTAATGTAATTTTAAATTTCCATTAATGTTACCAAAGATTGATATATGCAATAGTACAAAACTGATAATCTCTCAGAACATTATCAGGTGATTTAAAAAACAATAAAAAGATATTATTGCCTTAAAAATGTAAAATGAGATGCCTAAAGAATTGCAACCTTATCTATTAAAAATTATTTTAATTTAACACGTATACTATTTCTTAGATAGTACTGAAGAAGCTTTCACTTTTTAATGTCTTTATTTTATATAGTTACTTGATGAATAATATAAATCCAGTATTGTGGAGCAGGGGATATGAGACTATAATTAAATATAACCACTAATGTTGTTTATGATCACTAGTGTTTTTCTAAAGTTTCAAATGATGAAAAGAAATAATTTTTGCAAATAGGATTTCTGAAGTTGAAAATTAATTGCTAGTAAGTATGCTATTACAATTTTAAAATAAGGATAAAAAATTGTACATTTGGGGATTAAGGTGTTTGTTGCCCGCTATTTTTTCAGAGCAAGTACCAAAAACTGAAGTGCACTCTATTTCAAGATAAGTTTTTCTCACATTAAAGTCAACATAGTTAAGTTGTAATATGTGTAAACATAAATTATCGATGAAAGAATATTAAATCACCTGATTTACCAAAAAACCAAAAAGAGCACTCCACTGTCATTGTTATTCAAATACTTCAGTCAGTTGCCTATATGACTTACTCATTTTAAAAATATAAAATGAAGCTTCCTTTCTCATTATTCTCATAATAAAATATACATAACTAACTCAGCTTTTTAAATTTGTCTTTCACAAAGATTTTAGTTCTTTTAAGTTGGATATCCCTTATCTGAATGTAAAACCCAAAGTGCTTATTAATTCAATTCAATGATGATTTCAGGTACACTAAAGTTGCATCAAGTTAATGGGGGCGGTGGTAAGGGCGGGGGGGACCCATCCTCGTTTCTGGAAACCTTGAGGGTAAGCAGGAGATTAACCATCTCTTCCTTTAAATTGCAGCTTTAAAAAGGGGGTGAAGGGATCCATTGATTAATAAATAAAGCTCCCCTCCCCCCCCACACGAGAATCCTATTTATCTGACCTAGTGAAGTTGCCAAAACATGACTATTGTCAAAGCCAAAAAATTCTCCTTTAAAATATTTAAACTTCATTTTAAAATTAAAACAGAAAGCAAGATACTCAGCTGCCAACTACTGTGTAGTATGAAACTATTAAAGCCTGCACTGACCTACTTCATATTAGCATCATGACAATTTGGATGCATGCCAAGAAAATAATTAAAATTATTTAACTATATAACAAATCTTAATTTTGTTATTTAAAAATTGTCACTGTTTTGAAGTGTGCAAATACAGTGCTGCAATGTCAGCTGTTTTATGATACATTTATTTTGAAACTGCAATATAAAAGTAAGGAGTTTTGATATTTTAGTAGTCATATTCAATGATGGACATGAAACATTTCATTTTTAAAATCAGAGCTTTCTTATACCACATTTAATTCTATCTTTAAACTTCTATTAAAAGCAATGTCCTAGACCAAATCCCAAATATTGCTTTCAATTTTTAAAATAGCACTACACTTTTTAAGAAATGTCAGTTAATGAAGAATTCTATAAAAACAATCCAAGTTCATGTTCAAGGAATATTTACAATGGCTCTAACAGGACAGACTTAACTCGGTGTTTTTAATTATTAAAAGACTGCCATCAGTCTTTCATAGTTTAATGCAGAAATATTGGCAATTCTCATACAAGAAAGTACAGGAATAGCAAAGGATATTTCATCTAAGGTTTCAAAAAAAGACACACGAAATGGCAAGACTATTACTTCAAAGATATTTTTAAACTAAAAATCACTTTACAGTGTGAACTTCCACCTTAAAACAGAATATACTAACGAAGCCTTTTCTTCACAATTAATGTAAAAAATAAACTTCCTGGAAAAGAAATTTAATATCAGAATAAAGAAGGCAAAAACATCCAGAAAGAGCAGCTAAAGCAACTGAAAGGAAGAGACACATTAGGTTTTGTGCTGCCTATTAATATTCCTACGCACAATGTCTGTTTGGTGAAAATTCACAATACACTTCTTCCTCCCTGTATGACTGCAAAAAGGAGTAAACACATTTCACATTCCTCAGTGCCAAATTTATGCTACCATCATGCAAGATGACTTAATTTCGACCCATATTCCTCTAACACATAAGTGAAAACCACAAATAACTTGTTTATCTGCACTTACAACTGAAGAGGTGGCAAAAAAAAAAAAAAAACACAAAAAACATTTGGGGGCTATGGAGACCAGGGGCTGATGCGAAGTCCCCACACCTCCAGAGGCCCTATAAATATGCACCCGACTCTGGATACCCACAATCAATGAATGCATCAGCCTGCTCCTCCGCTTCCCCGCCCGTCGCCAGCCTTCCCCCACCCCCTTTGCAGCAGAATTGTGCCTGGGCTTTTTTACCCCAGCGATGGAGGATCCTCTTACCAGATGGAGTTCTTGATCTCGTGTTGCAGCGCGCTGGCCTCTGTCCCTGGCAGCCCAGGCACAAGGGCTGGCAGAGCCACCCCCGAGTTGGGGGCGCTGGGGGGAAGCTGCTGATGGGCATCAGGCTGCTGTGGTGGTGGCTGTTGTTCCTCTGCCATCGCTGCTGGAGGGGTGGGAGGGAGGGAAGACGGGGGCGCGGGGAAGGGTGAGGGACGAGACGGGGAAGGGAGGACGAAGGGGGAGAAAAGGAGGGGGGAGGGGAAGAGGAGGAGGAGGAGGAGGAAGGAAGCTGGATAAGCTAGGCCTTTACCCCAGGGCTCGAGTGAGTCGCTTTCGCCTGCCGCCTGGGGGACATCACCGGGGAGACCGAGCGGCTGCTCACGGCCGGGGCGCTTCACCGCGGGAGAGGCATGGCGGCGCCCCTCAGCCCCCCGATGCCGCCTCCTCCCGTCAGCG